ATAAAACTCAAGTGGAATTCCTACAAGAATAGGAACAGCCATAGGAAAACTCTTAGTGACTCGAACGCTTGCGAACTGCGCAACTTGCGCATTCACTTTACCACGCACGATGTTGACCTAAATTGACCTGACTGTCGGTGAACTCGTTCTAAACGGTCTCGGATGATGAAACGGACCATGTAGATGTGTCCGACACGTCGACTTTAGCTATGAAAAACACTCATATCAATATGATTCCGAACTCGAGCAATCAGCACAAAAATCAAAGCACATTTTTTAATTAGCAGGACGCTGGTTCAGGCTCAGTCCACGATCAATTCGGGCTGGACTCAAGCTTAACAAGGACTAAGCAATTTTGAATTTTAAATTTTTAAATTTCAAATGAGTCATTTAATTTCACCTTAATTAAATTCATTCGGAAATTATTACCAGCCAAATAAAACTCCTCCACAAATGTAAATTCATCAATTCCCCGCCTAATGCCCTATAAAGGACATTTTGAAAGTGCGGCTATAGGATTTGTCCTACCCCTTCCTCACAGGCAGATTCTGACATCCTCCTCACGCTCGATCTCGCCTCGCTTGGCTTACCCTTTCACGATCGAGAAAATGCTCGTCTCCTCTATTCCCTGAACTGAAGGTTGCGCCCCTCGATCCCGCTCCCTTTTCTTCCTCCACTCGATCCCTCTCAGGAGGTGACTGTGTGAATTGAAGCCCTCACCTGCTCCTCTCTCTCGCACGAACAAGCAGTCGCACACCGCTCCCTCCCGGCACCGAAACCTCCTCCTTCGGTTCAACCCTGCTGCTGCAGTAAAGCCACGCTCATCTCCTCTCCTCTCTGCGTCGAATTGCGCTCGACCTCACCTCCCCTGCGCGACCTGCCCCCTCTCTCTACAGAACCACACTCGTCTTGCCTCCTTCCTCATCTCACAGAAATCCGACATCTCACCAGAGCATTCTTCATGAAGATATAATTTCTTTTTTTTTAACAAATTCGGTTGATGCCTTTGGCTGCCATAATTCCTCACCGGCAAATGGGTATCTACGTATAATTTTATTTCATGACGGATGCCAACTATTACTTCTGCTTCTTAAAATGGGTATCTATTTTTAATTTCATTTGATGCTATAATTTTAATTTCTTGTTGGCACTAGAAACAAATGATGGAAGAAGCTTTACTGTTTTCATGCTGGGCTTAAACGACCTTCTATTAAAAGGGGCTATTACTTTAATTAAGTCTTAAATTCCTTTTAGGAAAAGTTGGGGTTGCACTTTCCACTATTTTGGGGGCATTGAACTCATTGTTTCGAGGCTGTTGTATTCACCGTTCTGGAGGCATTAAACCCATCATTTTGGGGCTGCTTTACTCACTGTTTTGGAGCGATTTACATGATGCTTTAACTATCATTGTTCACTTTCTTCGAGAGATTTTGAATGCTGCCCTAGCTATACATATCCTCTGTTTTGGGGTGTTTTGAGAATTGATTTTGAAGTGGTTTTTGGCACTGATTTGATTGTTTTCGGCATTGTTTGGGTTGGGTTTTCTAGCTGATTTTGGGCTCATTTAATTGCTGGGCTGGGTTTTCTAGCTGATTTTGGGCTCATTTAATTGCCATCTGGACACATGTAATCGATGTCTAGGCTTGTTAACTGCTATTTGGAGCTGTAGGAGGCTTTAGAATTGTGATTTGGAGTTGCAAACTGCTGCTTGGAGCTGTAGAAGGCTTTAGAATTGCGATTTGGAGTTGCTAACTGTTGTCCGGAGCTGTAGGAGGCCATAGAACCGTTGTTTGGAGTACCTAGCTGTTGTCCGGAGCTGTAGAAGGCCTTAGGATTGTTGTTTAGACTTGCTAGCTGTTGTTGGAGCTGTAAGAGGCCTTAGGATCGCTATTTGGAGTTCCTAGCTGCTGTCCGGGGCCTGTAGGAGGCCTTAAGATCGTTGTTTAGGCTAGCTAGCTACTGTTTGGAGCTGTAGGAGGCCTTAGAATTGCTATTTTGAGTTGCTAACTACAGTTTGGAGCATTTTAAATGGTTGATTAGGAACTTTTAAAATGATTGTTTGGAGTCTTTTATTTAAATGGCTGTTTGGGGTGGGTTATGCTTTGACTCGCTTTGCTATTTTTTACACCAAAATTACTGTTTACTTTTTTTTTCCTGGAATTTATTTAAATTCCCTGTAAATTATATTATGTTTTATGAGCTAATCATGCAGCAGAAATAGCGAGAAGATCATTATTTATTGTCATTTTTATCACTGTAATTTACTCTTGCTTTAATGTATAATGCATGTCTGGTTGCAATTTCATTTTCAAAACAAAACATTTTTCAAAAATTAAATAACATATTCAAAAAAAAAACATAACACGTACTTTTGAATTTATGGAAGTCCCTTAGATGAGGTAACCCACAGTTACTAAAGCGTTCTTCTTGGTTTAAAGGAGCTTAACAACTCATTTGGACTAAGTGAATTATAAAGAAAATATTAATATACCGGAACGAGGGAACCATGAGATCCTAACCGGTGTCGTTCTAATCAAACTTTAACGCCCCCCCTCCAAAATGCTTGAATGACAACAAAACCAGAACTATGAAACATAATTGGTAAAACCTTTTGAACCTTAGACTTTAAGACTGTCACTTCTATAAGGAGTCTGGAACCAACTTCGTGAGCAGCATGGCGAGGGGCTTGAATCGAGCAAGAAGAGAATCTTTTTCAGCATTCTCTCTTCATAGCATAACAACAATTCATAGGACTTCGGGATAGCTCGCCTAGCGTGATGTAAATTCTCACATCCTATTTAAGCTCTTGTGCAACCATGTTGACCTTTTCAACATTTTTTATTCCATGTAAGGATAGGAAGTGTAGGTTAGGCATTGACCCATTATTGCCCCAATAAATGCATGCGTAACTCCGGGACATCTGTTGGCTGATGTGTGAACAAATGAATAAATATTTCTTCCAAACAAACTGGCTATACAGCAAACGTGCAGCAATGGACATCTGATAAAACCCATCAGCAACCACAAATAAAACCTAGGGGAAAGAATCTCTTTGTAAATTATGGAAAAGAAATGGGGAATATCTTGATAAATTCTAGTATTTTTATGAAATTTTAGTAAAAACAATGGCAAGAACAGAGAATTCCAATGAAAACAAACAGAAAACAAGAAAGACAACTAACAGCAAGACTGTTGTTTTAGATCGAATAAAAGCGTGAATTGGAATCACGAACCTTAAGCTCTAATACCAATCAATACCGACAAAGGTATGGGTGCAGAATTCAACTAGAAAATAGAGAGAATATGTAAATAAAAATCAGAAACAAGAAACTGAAAATCACAAAATAAGGAAGAAGAAACAAAAGAGAGACACAAATCAAATAAAAGATGCAAGATATCCAAGATGTCAGCACCAACAACGAATGGATACAGCTGCCACCACCCGACGCCATGGTACAAACAAATTCACATTAATGAACGTACAAAGCCAAAGCTCTCACGTCTTCCTACATCATTTCAAAAATTCCCCAATAAAGCACAATACATATTTATAATCAAACAAAGGACTTAAAGCAACTAGACATAAATACCCTTACTAATATATTGACCAACAACTTGAATCAAATGTATTGACCTCATTTATTTTAGATCAAAATTAAGACACTCCACATTATGCTGCTCTACAGAACATGTTAAGGCCTCCAACATCATCCAACCTGCAACAAACTACTATTCACTGTAGAAAAAGCGTCGTTTTTCATTCCGGTTCACTATCCAGCCATCATTTCGTTGTAATTTTAGCAGCCATCCATCATCCCTCTAATGTTACCCGTTCTACCATTTCCCTAGCACATTTTTGTATTTCCAAACACCTTTCAGAAATCCTAGAACAATATCATTTGGTATAAAAGCTAGCCAGAATCTCAATTGAAAGAACGAGACGCTATGCCGCCAATGAGAAACCTTCAACAAGGTGCTTAGAAAATTAGCATATAATGCATGCAGCGTGAAATCATCTAATTGCAGCAGAGGCTTGGCTGATTTTATAAGAACAACATGGGGAAGTAAGCCACATCAATAACGATAACCACCAAGTTGAAGGAGATGAAGAAAACTAATGAGAGGGTGATTTTAGAGTAAAGGTGTATTTATTGAATTTTGACGATGGCATGAATCTGAATGAATTCATCGAGTGGCTCTAGACAGTAGAACGGTTTCACGAATAAAAAGGCTCTGTTTGGGGCAGTTGCAGCTTTTCAGCTTCTTAGCTGCAGCTGCGCTGCCCCAGAAAACTGTTGTGGGGAAGCTGCTGCGGGGAAGTTTTGGTTGCATCTTTACTGTTATTTAGCACCTGTGTGAAAATAACTGTGTGAAACTGTGTGCATGTTTGGGCACTTGTGTGAAAACAATTGTGAGGCATGTTTGGGCATCTGTGTGAAAACAACTGCAGTTTAGGATCATTCTGCCCCTGTTTTGTGATGTTATGCGTAACCTGTGTGAAAACAACTGCAGTTGTTTCTGTAAAAATGATCATTCTGCCCCTGTTTTGTGATGTTATGCGTAACAGAACTGTGAAAGCCATAAATTTAATACTTTTAAAGCAAAAACTAAAAGTGTTCGTGCTCTGATATGAAAGAATTGGTTGGTTATAAAAAATTCAAATTCATCCTCCTTTTCAACATAAATCCACTTTTTAAGTCTCCTCTTCCTTCAATTAATTGAGACCATAATTTGACACACAACTACAACAACAACAACAAGAAAAATGATTTCACAATTCATAATTTACTAGTCATTGATCTTTTCATTTATGCATTATATTATTTCTGCATTATATTACACCACCACAAATCCCCCTTTTTTTCAGCTACTTCGTATATTGTGCTTTTGTTTCCATCAAATAGCCCATTAAGTCAAGAGTTAATTAGGTTTTTTCAGAATTTCAGGTTCTTAAAAGGCCAATAGCAAAATTAAATAAGGTAATAAAAACTATAATTTATTCAAAAAGTGAAAAAAAGAACTTCATTCTCAATAATGAATAGTTGCTCCTTCTCCGTCGTCCAAAAGATTCTCCATGTACCGGAGAGAGATGAGTCGGTCGTCACAGTGCCAACACCGAGCACAGCGAGCTCATCGATGGCGCAGACGAATGTGAGAAGGAAGGAGGAAGGAGCAGAGCTTTCTTTGGTGTAACAACCCGAAAGGTCGGACCTTCGATCGAAGGGGTAATGGGTAAAAACAGAATCATGAAATGCGGGCCGCGGGGTCGATTCCGCGGACCGCTTTTTGCAAAAAAATCCTCTGTGGTGGCCGCAACGCTCCTCTGTTGTGTCCCCAAACTCTACACTTTGGTGGTGGGGTGCCGAAAAACTCTGCAGCCGCGCCCCCAAACAGAGCCATAATTCTTCAACTTGACCAAAGTGTAAAGCTTGCCGACATTGAGTTGAAGAAGAGTGTCTCTATAGTGGAAAAACTTAAAGCACTTACACTAGCATAAATGAAAAATAAAATCACAACTTGAACTAAAATGAAAACGAATGTCACACCGCAACTGACCCCCCCTTTGAGATCAACTGCGATGCGATAGAGGCGGTTGATTTGGTCAGACTAAATTTTCATCAGCACTCGTCAGGACTTGCACAATCATGACTCAATGTGTGATTAACTACTCTAACTAAATTACTCCAACATACATAATACATTTCATTTCATTTACATAAATATACTAAGAAACATAGAAAAATCATAACACTAAAATATATATATCATATGTAGAAAAGAACCACATGCTCTAGTCGAGCGCCGATGAAGAAAAGAAAAGCGATCGCGTGCGGGGATATAGGATAAAGTCGTTCGCGTCTGTGCCCTACAGTTCGCATTTGCGGCTTTCTACGGCGTCGTCTCGCCGCGGTTCTCCTACGCGGCTTTGTGGAACTGAGGTTTCGACTCTATCGAGCTCATTTGCGGTTCGGTTTACTGTCTTCTGCGCAGCGTCCCAACCTCTTCAGCCCTCTGCCCGATTTGCAGGGCTTCTCGATGGAGCTTCCTTCTTCGGGTGAACCTGACAAAACCTCTTTTGCCACGTTGTGGGTAATCCTTAGGGGGAGACGGTGGTTGTGTTTCCCTCAAGTTATAAGAAGAATCATTATGGTTTAGGTGGTTGCCCCTTTATTTAGAATGCAAGCAGGAAAAGTGGGAATGCAACACTCTTTTTCTTAGAGTCAGACATTTCAACCCTGACTGACAAATTCAAGTTTGCTGTCATTGGAAAATTTAAGTGGGGACACCCGAGGTTATCAGAAAAAATTTTGATGACCTCAAATTAGCAGTAAAGTGGAAAGTGGGGCTCATAGATGGAAGACATGAGATGGAAGACATGTTTTGATAGACATGTTTTGATTCAGTTAACCGTGTCTGAAGACTACACTCAAATTTTCTCCAAAAAATAACTTAACATTGCTCGTAAACCTATGAAGCCACTCAAGTGGTCTCCTGATTTCGACCCAAATCCTGAAACTCCCACTGTACCGGTATGGTTTAGTTTACCTGGTCTCAAGTTGTATTTTTTTCACCATCAGGTTCTCTACCCATCAGGTTCTCATCAGGTTCTCTACTCTATTGGGGTCATCCTTGGGGGATCATTTGAAACTAGATCTGTCTACTTTCAACCTAACCAGAACCTCGGTGGCCAAAATACTTGTGGAAATGGACATATGGTTCTCTACCGGTATTGTTTTGTGCATATTCAATTTGATAGATCTAAACAATCCACATCTAAGACATTACCTAAATTGTTTGATAGATTAAGATAACATATAAGAAGATGGTTTCACTTAAAAAAGAAACAAGCTGAGACTATGACAAGGGCGCTATGGAGGATCCATCTAGACAGTTCGGTCCAGCTTTGGTGGACCGATCGGTTCTCAAGGGAAGGGGTTGTCAACCCTACACCTCTCTCTTTTCTTTATCTCCCCCTCAGTCTTGCCTTCGTAGCACTTTCCCATTATAATTCCTTACCAATTCTAAATTCTAATTTATTTTATTCATTCTTGCCTAATATGAAATTCTATTAGTTTAACCGTCCTTGCATAATCTGAATTCTTATTATTTTTATTTTTCTTTCTTATTTTAAATAATGCCCAAAATATGTCCTAGTCGTCATTATAAATAGAGGGTGTTATACTTAGAGTTTTTTTAGTTTTTCGTTGAGTTTGCTTAAAGATTTCTTGTGTTGACTCCTTTTCCCATTTGTAGGTCTGTATCCAAGGGGGGAGTTTGCTCAAAAGGGAAGATTTTTTTATCTTCCCTAACCCTTCTCCTCCACCTTCCATAACAGTTGGCCACTACAATCACTCCCCAGCACCCCATCGTCCCCATTTTTGAAGCATACTCCTACTTTCCAACCCGGTAACCTTCCCCCAACACCCTGTCGTCGTTGTCCTGCAGCACACCAGTGCTGTCCAACAAGGCTGCCATTGCCACAGCACACTGTCGCCCCCTCACCACAGTCTATTAATGTTGTCTAGACTTCCTGATTGCTTTCCTGCATCCAGTTGACCCCCTTACAGTAGTTCTGCTTGTTGTCTAACTCACCTCTACATCACCAAGCACCCTTCCCTGAAGCTTTCCCTACCACCCCTCTACCAATACCCCAAACCAACCCCACTAACCACCCTTCCAACAAATTCGACAAACCTCCACCCATCCCTTTTCCCTTGTCATTTCGTCGCCGCCACCACCGCTCTCGGATTTTTCTTCTGGCCCTAGTCATTGATTGGTTTGTTGTTATAGTTCCCCTTTCCGTTTGTGTCGTGTTGAAATCCTATTTCAATATTAAAAAAATTTATTTTTGTTTCCGCAGATTTTCTAACTAGTTTCGATATCAGACTTGTTTTATCATCAAGTTAAAACACTAATGTTTGAAGTCTGATTAAGCATGAAGCAAAGATCAAAATGACATTTTAACTTCAATGAGTTAAACAAAAATGTGTAAAAGATAGGACCGAAGAAGCCACCGAAAGTTTATATAAAGCTTGAGGTTAAAACCAACTAACGCCATTGTCAACAAGTCCATTAAAACACCAAGCATTGAATTACAATAGTTGCCATCAATCTAATATTAACTTTGAAGGCTAGATCACAGACATGCATTCTTCAACGAGTTTGTCAAAATTGGAGTATAGGATCAAACGAATGTTAATTTCTAGACAAGTGAGAAAAAATAAATTGAGTTAATCACTTCATGAAGCTCGTTAAAGCTTAGAGCAAAAGGAAAATGCAATTTTTCTAATAAGTTGATAAATGCAAATGAACAAAACTTCATCAAATCAGCTAAAACACAAATCTAGAAAAGAAGGAAACTCAAATGTCTAATCCACCAAAAGAAATTTGTTGTCAAATCAAAAAAAAAAATTCATCATCGAGTCCATGGGGCACAAAACGTCGAGCAAATGTCGGCACCTTCATTAAGCTCAACAAGCTATTGCAGCCAAGCCAATGAAATTTAAATCTAACACAACTTACCGGCTGGATTTCTTAATCAAAAGAAAGCATATCACATTAACTAATTACTTAAAACTTCAAGTTGCAACATTGACTAAATTAACTTACAATTGTAAAATTATACAAATCAAAGTTGAAATTTGTAGTTTCTATTAACATATGTGAACCCAATTACTGCAGAGTCAATCAGTTTGCATCATAGTCCACTTTGATTGTGCATAAAATTTATTCAGCGCATTTGTTGGCCTTTGTTATAATTTTCGCTAATTGAAACAAGCAGATGAATTAAGGATGAATGTCGAAGAATGTAATAACACGCAAAGTGCAGGTGCGGCTATATTCATTTGATCGCCACTAGATATGCAAAATGAATATTAGAAATTATAGTGTGCTATTTAAAAATTCAAAGCTAAGTTTTGCGCACAAGAGAATTGTGAATAACTCACACAAAATAGTCTATTTAAAGTAGTTTCAAATCGTGTTCATATTTCATGAAATAATTTGCAATTCAAATATGATTCTAGAAGACATGTTTAAAAATGTGACATTTTCTTAAGGTCCTTAAATATGAATGTTAAAAATCCTCATGGTCTCCGACTATCATATTAAGCATTTAAATCTAAATATCAGAGAACATTGTGCATACTATTTAAAATTATTTCAAAATACTTCCTTCTTAAAAGCTAACAAAATTATCTAAATTATCCAAACATATAAAATTGTACATACCCATGTGTTTTAAGATTATGTGCACACTATTTCAAAAATTTAAAAAAAAAATTAAATTATACATTATACATGTTCTCGAGCAAGAACCATTAACTATAAAATAGAGTCGTGAATCTCGCATAATTACTCCAATCATTCTCCTCATACGAATCAGAGTTGATAAGATTGAAAATAAATTACAAATATAAATAATCCAAGTTTTCAACCCTAATGATAGTCATGATGATTGAAAATCACAATCAGTAATTTTGAATCAAGTCTTTCTTCAAATCGATAAAATAAAACATTTAAGTTCTATCACCCATAACTTACAACAAACTATATCCACCATTTATAATACATTAGCAAGTATGACAAGTTTATGATTAATCCAACTCGTTTGTAGTTAGTATCACATCAAGTATATTTTTATATTCACACTCGAAAAAAATTTTATATTGATAAGTACTTCACCTGAGTAATGGAATTAGTAGATATTATGGTTCATAGGAAGATAAATATCTTCTATAGTCAAAAAACTAAATAGGTTGGACAAAAGGCTAAGAAGACTGATAGCTTAGGTTTTAAACTTTAGTATTCAGGTAGACTTCATAATAAAAATGATGTTGGTGTAATTACATATAAGAGTCTGAAAGATAATGTTGTAAAAACCAATACAATTAGAGATATAATTATAGCACAAAAGACTTATTGATACGAAGATTTTTAATGTTATAACTGTTTATACTACTCAAGCAGGTTTAGATATAGATTTTCAAAGAAAAATTTTGAGATAATCTAAAAAAAATACAAATCTTAAAGAAAAATTTTTTATTGGAGATTTAAATGGACGTGTTGGTAGAGTAATAGAAGACTTTACAAATATTCGTGGTCACTACGGTTTTTGAGTGATTAATAAAGAAGGTAGAACTATATGAAATTTTACTTTAGCTAATAATTTTATTATTATAAATACTCTATTTAAGAAAATATATGAGCGTATTACAACTTATAAGAATGGATCTAGTAAAATACAAATTGATTTTTTTTTTTTTTTGAAAAAAAGATATCATGGAGAATGCAAAGATTGTAAATCATTCCAAGCGAAAATTTAAGTATTCCACATCAATTATTAGTTCTAGATTTCATGATCAAAAGTTGTAAGAAAAAAAATACAATTAAACATTGTCATAGAAAGATGAGAACACATAAAAGATACAAAAAAAAAAAATTTTTTTTATGAGTAACCTTCAAGATTTTAAAATTTCAAATGTTCATGAAGAAAATAATTCTCTGTGGAATGAAGTTACAAGCACTATTAAACAAGTGGCAAAAGAGAGGAATCAAAATAAAATGTTTGTATGAATAAAAATAGTTGGTGGCGAAATACTAATGTGCAAGAAAAGATAAAATATAAGTTGTGTTATAAAAATTGGATTAAATGTACAAACTTAGAAAACTGGGAAAAATATAATGTGGCCTATAGGGAGTGTAAGAGAACAATTTGAGACGCTAAGAATTCTACTTTTAGTGATCTTTATAATAAATAAGACACTAAATAGGTGAAAAATATATGCATAAAATAGCCAAACAAAGAAAAAAAAGATTCAATTTATGTAAAATATTTTAAATATGAAAATCAAAAAGTACTTTTCAAAGAAGAATATATTCAACATAAGTGGTAAGCTATTTTGATAAAATTCAAAAAGCATATTCAAAAAGTACTTTTCAATGAAGTTTTTTAAAATATGATCTATCTTAGTGATCTTATTAATAATACCAAAACTTTTTATTTTTAATAAGTTAAGAAAGTTCGATAAAAAATAAGAGTGGAAAATAGTAGGATTTTATGAAATCCCAATTGAAGTGTGGAAATAACTATAAAATTTGGGAGTTTCATGGCTTACTAAACTCTTTAATATTATTTTAAAAACAAAAAAGATGTCCAAGAATTGGAGGAAGAGTATTTTGGTCCATATTTTTAAGAATAAAAGGTAGGCACAAAAGTGTGCTGATTATAGAGGAATTAAGTTAATGTGTTATACCTTAAAATTACGGGAGAGGGTAACACAACATAGGTTAAGACGTGACAAAAATTTCTCATAATCGCTTTGGATTTATGTTGGGCAAGTTAACTATGAAAGTTATTCATTTATTGAGAGGTTTGATGCAGACTTACAAAAGCTTACGATAATTTTCCAAAAGATATTCTTTGCAGAGTTCTAGAAAAGAAAGGCTGAAAGATATGTATACTAGAGCTGTTACGTTTATCGAATAGGAGGATTGACCAAGTATTTTCTTATTTCGATTCAATTGCATCAAGGATCCACTTTTGCATCAAGGATCGACTTTAAGCCCATTTTCTTCTTCACTTATTGATGCTTTTACTGGACATTTAAAAGAGGTTGTACCTTTGTGTATGTCTTTCACTGGTGATATCCTTTTTTTGAGGATAAGAATAGAGAAATAGTTCAAGAAAAACTTGAAATATAGAGGTCTACATTGGAGTTTAAAGGCCTCCATTTGAATAGATCTAAAATTAAATACATGGAATGTAATTTTAATAGTAGTAGCTCTAGTAGCAGAAAAGTAACTATGGGTGATCATATTATTAAAAGGTGAGAATGTTTTAGATATCTCAGGTCTATTGTTCAAAGTGATGGTGATATAAATGGGGATGTTATTAGTAGAATTCAGGTTGTTTGGTTGAAGTGTAGGAATACATCAAGCCTAATGTGTGATAGAGAAGTACAACTTAGAATTAAAAGATAATTTTATAAGTTGGTGGCGAGACCTACAATGCTTTATGGCGCAGACTATTGGCTTTTAAAAGAGAAGCATATAACAAAGTTAAGTATTGTTGAGATGAGAATGCTTGTGGATTAGTGGCATGACATTTAAAGACAAAATGTGAAATGAAATTATCCATGAAAAAGTTGGTGTAGTTCCAATGACAGAAAATATTACAGAGAGTCGTCTTAGATGGTTTGGTCACATTAAACATCGATCATTTGATGATCCAGTTAGAAGAGATCTTTTAGATCTGACTTATGTTAAGAAAGGATGAGGTTGACCTAATTGACTAGGTTATTGGTAAGGGGACTGACTACCTCCTCTGACAAAGTAGACCAAATAACATGACAATCAAAGACAACAAAAGAATGAGAGATAATCGAGTTCGTCAACATTCCCTACAATCCACTTTAAGTTCACAATTATGAAATTATCATTCTAAACACAAATTTGTTGTTATTATATATTATGTCTAAATAATTAACACCTAATCACTAGATTTAATTTAAAATGTAAGGGCTTGCGCCTAAGAAAATCTCAAACCTCGTATGTTAAAATTCATATTCTATCTACTATCTCATCTGCCTTTTAAAAATTTGACCTGAAATAACATAGAAAATTCAACGAGAATCCAAGACAAGTTCCTAGTTTTTCAGTCAATTGTATCAACGATAGACTTTTATATATGAAATAAAATAGAACATGTTGTTTTGGCTCACTTTAGCAATCATATGGTCTCTATACAAATTCAAATATTATGAGTACAAACTAATTTTATACATTTCTTCATATCATTTCGTGTTGTTTGGTGCAACGCCTTCTAGGCCAGAGTGACAAGATAAGTAGGATGGATTTAAGTATTTAAGACCAATTATATAAAAAAAAAAAGATTCATGTACTCGACCCCACATAGTGGGATTAAGGCTTTGTTGTTGTTGTTATTATTATATATAACGAATGGTACAATAGCTTAAGATAAAGTTTCTAAAGTGAAAGCTAGTGATGCCAACCCGAGAAACAAAAGAACACAAAATATTATTGTTGAAAACTTCAAATGGATTCACAATAGATGTTCTTAAAATGGGAAATAAAAAGCACAAACACAAACAAGCCTCTAAAATGAGGACGGAAGTGGTGAATCTGGTTGGACAACAGAGGAGAGGTGGAATGGGGTTTATGATAACAGAGGTGGTGGCTGGAAAGGGTGGTGGCAGCATGTTTTGGGGAAAGGAGGGCCGGTGACAATAGATGAGGAAGTAGGTAGGTGAGACTGTTGCAAGGTTGGGTGCTAGATGGCTGGTTGTGGCGGATGGAGTTGCAGAAAAGGGACTAGCGGTGGCAGTAGGGGTGTAGGAGAGGCTGCTGGCAGCAGCAACAGAGGCATGGAGATGCCGACAACCCAAACATGGGGGGAATGAGAGACTGGTGGCAACAGAAATAGATAGAGATGGGGTTGTTGGCTGCAGTAGCAAGGAAGATGGGAGCTAAAATGGAAGCAGCAAGCAGGAAAAAGAGATTAGGCATAGGGCAGGTCGAGATAATCACCACCTCAGAGAAGAATACAGCCAAAACACCACCTGTTCTCGGATAAAGCCCTAACAAGAAAAAAAATGCTTGGAGTTAGAAATCTGAACTCAGCAAAAACTAAACCCTAGATAGAAGTAACATATATTTATGATTGGTGAAATAGGGGGGAGGTCGGCTAATCCCACCGATTAGAGTAACGGACGATCAGCCTCCCTTTTGGACCGACAAAAATATACTAAACCACAAAGTCAAGACCCAATTGTAAATCAGTCTCTCAGGGTTAAGGAAATTTCGACTTTATTCGTCGAAGCTTTTGAGTCCTCGTGGTATGGTGTCAAGTTCGCGACATTGAACGTAATCATTCAGCTTGTAAGCGTTGTCAAGTCCCCTGGCAAGTCGATCTTGTAAGAGTTGTCATTCAGCTTCCGAAGTATTCTGAAAGCTCCATCTGCTCGGGACTTGAGTTTTGAGTTCTACAAATGCTTTTGCTCGAAATCTATCTTTCCTCAATCGGATTCACATTAGGTCCCCTTCTTGAAAAGCAATCGCAGCAGCAAGCAGAGAAAAGGGAGAAGGCGTGGGAGCATGTTGGGGTAGTCACCGTCTCGGAGTAGGATACATACCGCAGCACCACATGTCATTGGATACAGTCCCAACAAGGAGAAACTCCTGGATGTGGAAATCTGAACTTAGCTAAAACTAAACTCAAGACAGCAACAACATATACTTATAATAAGTGAAATAAAGGGAGGGGGGAAGGGCAACAGTTCTTTCCCATCAAAGTGTCGATCGGTCTAGTCTCCCTGTTAGACAGGCACAAACATGTTAGACCAGTCGGTCCAACCAGAGCCCTATCCCCCAGCCCTGTGTCCGCTAATTACTTAAAAATGAAATACCTCGAGAATATTATACAGTAAAAAAGTGTAATAGAAGAGAATAAAATTTCATAAGAAAGTTATCAGGCTAGCTATGATATATGAAATAAATGCTATTATGTGATACACAAGTCATTTATAGCCAAATTGAATGTAACCAAATTAAAAATATTAGAATGAATTTATAATAATATTATGAAGCATAAATCAAAACATAATTATAACTGAGACGCAATAAAAGTGACACCAATTGAAGAATATGTAGGGAATTAGACAACTTAGGCATACACTCTTGAGATCAGAATACACATCAATTAAATATCTAGGAAAATTCAAAAAATGCAACAAAAGCCTCGTGCATTCGATAAAGATAAATGTAACAAAACTAGAAATAAATAAAAAAATGCAACTAACACTTCATACGACATTCACTAATAACAAAAAAAAGGGCTTCAAAGGGCTTATCCATTAGACAGATCCTTTGAAGTGGTTGCTAAAGACTTGGATTTGAACAATACCTACACCAAAATAAATCTCATAACGCAAACTTTTGGGGTGGGAAAAATTGAAAATTAATAGTTTAATAAAAACCTACCCAACAAATTAGTGAAAAAGAAAATTGTTGATGACGATGGACTTCTAATTGACAATATCAGAGTACGAACTTAAAATAGCATCAATAGCAATCATTGTTTAAAATATAATAATCCTTTTCTAAAAATATATAATTCCACATGCATAAATGTTCAAACAAATGAATGTAAACTATTGACAAAATTAAGAATAAGTAATTTCACAACAAGGTAATGCAACAAATAGTTAAAGGGAAAAAATTGTACACAACCTTAGTTTCTTGTGTAGAATATCCCCATTCAGGAGAAACCTCAATAATATTGAAAATTTGTTGGAGACCAGAAGACTGATTCATAGGCATAAATGAATTTGAATTTGAACTATCACCATTTGACATCAGTGGAACATCCAAAGCATCAAAGGAGTCATTTTTCAAGTTATCCCACTGCCCAAATCCATTTTTGCTATTGAAGATGTCATAATCAAACATCTGAGACACTTCACTAACAATCGGTGGCTTCAAGTTAAGATTGCTGGCATTTAGCAGAACAGAATGCAACCCTTGATCATCTTGATTCCCAAGATCTTCAGTCTCTCCTCGCTTAAAACCATGTAAATGATCAGCACAAACTAATTTAATAGGATGAACGATAAATAATTGGGATGGAATCAAGCTATCCTATAAAATGATAAACAAAAATAGCAATTCAACTTTCAGTTTCCCAATAATGAATAAAAATGATAAGATGCAGAATAAATGTTGGTTAGTTCAACATTTTAGTGCAGCATTTTTCAAAAGAAAAGAAGTCGACAGAATCCCAAATACACACCTAAACAACCTTAGAGGAAAAAAATACAAAGAATAATAATCAATGCCAAAAGGCATGAAATATTGCATGACAGAATAAAGTTTAATAAGAAAATAACAAAAAGAGACATGCCTTGTGATGTAGCAAAAGAGATGCATCAAAATTAGTCTAACTTTTATCTATAACTTATGTTTTTAAAGATTACTTACAGGGTTTTATTTCAATTTTATATTTCTTAGTACTAGAATTAAACTTATTTATCACAATCTAGATCTGAGTTCGAACTAATTTAATTTTCCTTTGTAACCCTACACATCTATAAGTAAGGGTTTATCACTTGAAATTTAGTCAAAATGATAAAATTTATTTGAAGGATTTCCTCCCCATTAAGCTTCCCTCCCTCCCTCATCATGTTTTTACAAGAAATTGATCTCTTTATCTTTAGTCAAGTTTTTCTCGCCCTATAGATTCTCTCGACCCACAGCACTCTCTCTTCCACGCTAGAGGAAGTATGAAAATCCTTCCACAAGGTTTAAGCAGATTCTATCTTGCAAAAATATTACAACTGAATTTTCTTCTCCCCTAGAATGCATACCAAGAGACCAGAATCAAGGAAGAAGAATAACATCAACCAAATTGATTATCAGGTATGTCCCATCATCAAACTTAATATCAAATTTGCTCTTCTACTACATGAATTGATATCAGAGCTAAAAATTCCTTTAAGGTAATGATATATAAACACTAGCCACAAATATGCATCATTACCATTACCAAATCCGGCAAAAGCAACAAATGCCACAATAAAAATATATTGAAAAAAAAATTTTAAAAACAAGACCCTATAATTAAGCCATATGAAATTTTTCCTTTTATTAACTTCCACTTGCGCTTGTTTGCTTTAGCATTGCCAAAAGTCTTCTTCCTCAGTCAACGCTTCTACTGATCACGCATTTTCGCTCAAGCCATTTATTTCTCTCTTATGCACATTCTCTAGAGGTCCATTGAAAATCAATTCTTCATGCTTGTCCGGCCTCATTCGATAAGCTGGACGGCTTGGAATCACCGCGCCAGGGACTAGTCTATAGAATATTGGATATCACGTAGTGGCAGTAATCCTCCTGTAATTGCAGCATCAAAAATTTCAGCAAACTCATTCACTAGAGGCTGAATGACTTCAGAAATGGATTCAACGTTAGAGTTCATTTCCACCAGGATAACAACATTATCCCAATTGGCTTTCTACAAAGCTTTTAAAAATAGTGAATGGGGGTTGTTGGAGTTGTTGCTGATGTCGTGCTCCGATGAATACAACGTATCAACTTTCTCAGACATCGGCATTTACACAATTCGGACACCAACACCATCAAGGCTGAAGGAAAAGGTTTTAGCTTCACCATCAAGAACAGTTTTCCTATCATATTGCTCCGGCCTAACCAAAAATATATGACATCCATCCATATATACTACATCACACAAAACCTAATCTTGGCATCTGCCTATGCAAAAGTTAATGAAGCAACTTTTGGACACGGAAACGTCTGCAATTTGAATCCAAGATAGTTTATAAGGCTGTAGATGAAATTCGGTTTTCAATTGAAATTTGTCAATTATTATAGTTGACCCAACATTCTCACAGCTCCCTCAGTCAATAATCAGCTAACAAGCATTGCATAGGAGAGTGCAACGGAATGGAAAATATTATGACAAAGTCAAAAGTCTTCCTTCCCAGTTTAACAAGACTCTGAATAACCAGCAACTCACCTTCATTTTCTTCCATGAATGTCTACCCGAGCTGAACATTATTGCACTTTGCGGCCTCTCCGTCAATTTCTTGTTGAGGTTCCTCCACAAGCAAAAAACTTAGGACGATTTGGACAATTTTCAGCAATATGACCAAATCCATTGCATTTAAACATTTGTGGGCTAGATAAGAAAAGTTGACGCCTTGTTTTGGTTAGATTTGTGAGACTCCAATGCATTTCTCAAAGAGTTTCCTCATTCAGGCCCGATCCTAGATGTTGATGTTCATTCAATTACGGCAAATGCTTTCTTTCAGTACAAAGCTGTTAGTCTTTCCACCTTCAGACCAAGTTGATCACATCTTGCAAACACCAGTAAAGTTGTAGTTGTACAATATTGGCAAGATTGGAATGTAATCCACTAATGAATGCCGCAGCAGTATTTTCTTCTTAGTTCAGCCAAATCACACTTCATCATGTACCTTTCAAAACCCACCACATATTCTTCCACTGTTAAATTGTTCTGCAGGAAATGGTGCAATTTCAAAAATAAAAATGATAGTATTGACCCAGTATGTACTTTCTCCGTCGGATAAAATCTTGACGCATAAAATATACCTCAATTATCGCCCTTCCTCAAATTTCAATCAAAATAATTTTATTAAATTATGCATGAAAAATCGATCAATTCCTTATAAAACACTGTATATAAATTATGAAAGAATAGAGAAACATAAAATTTGAAAATTTTTAGTTTACATAATTAAATTAACCTTAATTATTTCCCTAATCACGCAGCTTCACTGTAGCCAACCAACATTCCTTCGCCTTTTAATCCTTCGTTTGGTCGAATAGGGCTAAAACTTCGCATTCTTTCCTCCCCTCCCGATTTTCCTTCTCCCAAGCTCTCGAGTTAGCTTGGCAGATACTTGGCAGAAGACCTAAGGGAGGAGCCACGATCGCAGCAGGCCAGCAGGCGCGAGCGGAAGGGACGAGCAGTCATTTGGTAAGCTGCGACCTACTCCCCTCTCCCTATTTCTCCTCTCTTCCCCGATTTTTCTCCCTGCTCCTTCCTAGAGCATCAAAAGCAGCAAGGGAGCTGCGACTCTTGCTACAATGCAAGGGCCGAGGGCACCAGACGGGTTGAGCGACCACGGGATGCGGTTTAGGGCTCTCGGATAGTTTTGTAAGTGTGAATCTCTTTTTCACGACATTTGAGGCAATCATTTTCTTCCTCGAACTTTCATTTTGAGTTTTGCCTCGTTTTCCATGTCATTTTTCTTTTTGGTAGTCGTCGGAGGCGTCCATTGTGCTCTGGAACGTAAAAGTTCTTTTGTGAGCTTTCATAAGGGTTCTAGCATGATATCAGCATAGAGGAAGTGTGTACGGAGGTAATAGAAAGTAAATTTGGTAGTTTTGGAGAAAGATTGGTCGTCGAGAAAATCGTTTAAGGTATGTTTTAGCAAATCATTTATATTTTTGGTTAAATTATTTTATTAGCCAAAAATATATTTAAAACCAACGTTAATGGAGAATTTCAGGTTATTTGTTTGCGCGAGGAGGGGAGTCGGGTACAGACTCGAGGCGAGAGTGTGGGCTTTCATTGTAAAGCAATCCTGTAAATTTCAGGTAAATTAATCCTAAGTTCATAAGATTATTTTGATTAATAGAATTTTTTAAAATCTAAAAAATTTAAATATTATGTTTAATAGGTTATTAAGCTCAACTTAAAATCACCGCAACCTCCAGCTAATTGTCGATGATTAAGAATTTAGCGTGACAACTAAGATGAGTAATCACATTTCTAAATTTCAGTAATTTTCTTTAATTCAGACTGTATGTTGATTTATATGTATGATTCAATTTAGTTAAATTTATAGTGCAACAAATTTTTATACTCCTAGATGGAAGAAGAGATATGCATGATAAGCATAGTAGGAAAAGATGTACATGCATGAAAGATATGCATGAGGCAAATGATATTTAGATAAACATTATATGTAAGATAGACATGTAAAAAAGATATGCATGATATAAGTAAGTGATATGTATGAAATAGACAGATGAATGATAAAAAAGACAAGAATGATGAATAGTTGCACAGCAAAGAAGTACGCATGTTAGTAGATTGCATAGAAATGTTTCATAATAATGTATGTATGAAGAATAAAATTACTTATATGTGAATGTTTGTATATGCATGTTTATAAGAGGATTTCACCCCTTAATGATATAGGTATGAGAAGTCAGTGTACCCGCGCACATAGAGTTTTTCTATCACCCCAGACAATTATGATAATTAGTTCAATATTCACTGTGCCGACAGGATAACATCGACCAAGGAGGAGTGTAGCAAAACTTACCTCCCCAGAAAATTGTAATGTTTATATTATTAATTGTTGTGCTGACGGGATAATATCAGCTAGAGGTAAGTAAACATCTTTCCACTGAAACAATTACGTTGTGTAGATCGTTAATCGTTGTGTCAATTGGGCAATATCGGCCAAGATTGTGTTAGGATTGTTGGCGGCGATCCTCACAAAGACAAATATGTACGTAAAGTATAGAGTAAATGTAAATTTAACATGAATGATTATAGCATATTAAGCATGTTCATTTAGAAAAAGGAAATTGATGTATGCATTAGAATATATCAGATTACTTATAAGTATATATTCCAGATTGCTTAAAAATATGAAAAACCAGCATATCATGTGTATATATCAGATTGCTTACAAAATATGAAGAACCAACATATTATATGATCTCTTATAAACTCACAACATGCATATTGAATTTTTCTCCTTGGATTACTGTAGTCTAGAAGTGTGATTACTCTTGAGTTATCTCTAGATAACTAATTATTTTACTTTAATATTATTTTTAAGTTTTAAACATTTGAACAAGATAAATAGAAGAGGAAAACATGGATACAAAAGACGAGAACAACAACAAAAAATGTTAATTTTAATTGATCTCTTTAGTGGTTTTTCCATGTTTTATTTTGATTATTAAAATGTTAGTGAGAGAGTAATAATAGCAGAGAATTG